TACTATCTAAATTCCCTGTGGATACGAACTCTACTACGCTACACTACGTATAAGTGCTAGTATTGAATTTATTTTGAGTGCACACACGACAAGTGCACGTCATTCAGCGATTAAAAATAAATAAAATAAAATGCTATTTTGCGAGTTTGGTTGGTTGAGTAAAATAAAACTAATGCTAATGAGCAAGTAAAAAAATTGGGTTTTCCTTAATTAACGACGAAGTGAACAGGGATTGATTCTGGGGTTAACCAGATTTCTGGCTGATCAGGCCTAATTACATGAAATTGACTTAATTGAGCCTAGCTAATCATTACTAAGTTCTTACCGCTCTCGCGGCGTAGAGTACAATAGTTTAGGGGACCAGGCTGATCTCTCATGCGACAGGATCCTAAATTATTGCCAAGACGAGCGAGCTTACGGCCCCTATCGCTACTAATATCTTAGCGAATGATTAAGTGTGTGTGAATGTGTCCTAGAACAAATTAGATCTCTCTTAATTCATTCTACATGCAATTGTAATTCTAGTTGCAGTCTAGGTTACAAGAGATATCAGTTAAATTATTCAAAACCAAATTAAACGACATTCATGCAATTAAACCGAAAGGAATCTAGCCATACATTATCATGATTAACCCCTTCATCAACCCCAAATCTCTAATTAAACTACTCACAATTCATAATTGAAGAATCAACAGAATTGGGATGAATAGAATAAATTGTCATTAATTAAAGAATTGAACTTACAAAGAATCCCAGGTTCTTGAAGTAAACAACGAAAAAACGCAGATAAAATTCGTCCTAGGCCTCTCCACAAAGTTCATAACCTTGAAATATGGGTATGGGGGCCTTATTTATAGAAAACGGGGGAATCCGGGCGTTTTCGGGACTGCTGGGGGGCACACACAGAGCCCACGCACGGCGTGCGTCCCCCAGTGCGTCCGACAGACAAATCACGCAAAAATGGCCACGCATGGCGTGCGTCCCCCTACGCACGGCCGTGCGTGGCTGGTAGTAGCTGCCTTGCTTTCTAGCCTCGGACGCACGGTCGTGCGTTCCTCTACGCACAACGTGCGTCAAACTTCTGAATTTGACAAAACTTCCTTCATGAAAGTTGTAGATAATGAGGTCCTCTATCCACCACAACTTGCGTAATTGGATTTGAATCATCCAATCAAGAGATATGATCAAAATGGTGGAAGGTCTCATTCTGAAATCTCAACAGCGATCATCTGACTTCATCGTCTGTTTTCACCTTTCTCCTCTCATATTCTCGGAATGGTGTCTTCATATGATTTGTATCCCTTGAAGTTGGCTTTCATGTGAAACTTGATTAGTGTCCTTTGGATTTGTCTACAAAGATATATGCTTGAACGATTGACAGAAGGTCATCCTGATCGTCGTTTTCAAGCTCTATTTGTCTTCTTTTGATCCCGTAGCCGATCCTAGAGCTCTTTTGTCATCAAATTATCATCGCGAACCTTCCGGTGACATCCAAATCTCTCAATCCACTCTCGAATGCATCTCGAATCATCCTGATTGCTTCTCTAGTACCGGTGTTGAATTCTAAATTCCTGACTTTGACTCCAAATGACACAAAACTTGAATCAATGTCTGGTAAACATAACTTGAGCTAAAATTGAGACTTATGACACCTTAAAGCTAGGAAAACCATCAAAAGCCAATATCAACACGCATCAAATGCATGTCTAAATACAGACTTATCAGATTCCCCCACACTTAAGCCTTTGTTTGTCCTCAAGCAAACTGAACAACATGACTTACGATAATCACCACACGGAATCAAAACAATTAGCATGCAAACGTAGTGAAAGGGATATTTACAGAACAGGCAGACTAAACCAAGAAAATTCTTCCTTAAACTACATCTTTGTACTCTAGCTAAAATATTTGACAAAATTATTCACAACATCCTCAAAGTAGTGACAACAAACACAAATAAACTAGCTACTGATCAGAAGGACTTGTGAAGACGGTGGTGAAGGGTGAATGGTAAGGATAAACAGTTCCTTTCTTGAGAGTTTGGAACATTCTAACAAAGACTCAATGCATTCAGGAATTTCGGGGCTATTCTTAGGATCAAAGAACTTAGTAGGCCACAAATTAGGAACAATCATCTAAACCTATGCAAAGAGTAGACATGGTGTACAACTAAGCTAAACCGCCGCGGCACATTTGTGCTTTGACATATACTTGAAGTACGTGAAGGACTAAAGCTAATTTTTGCAATAGCCTCCAAGTTCATTAATTAGGTTCAGTTTTCCTTGTCATGTTGGCATGAGAACGCCATTTCTTTCGAAAGATACCCAAGTCTCATCTTACGTTTTTTGACCGGGGCTCCCATTCTCTTTTTTGCAAGGTAAGAGGTCTAGCGATATTAATTTTTCACCTTTCGGATTTTTACTAGACATTACCTTATTCTAATCTCGGCCTCACCAAGGAAAAATAGCAATTAAAAGTTCATTAATTCAATCGTGAATCCATGCCTACAATGCAATCCTCGAAAATATCAAATTTCTAAAAAGTGACTGCTCTTACCCCATTTGAGACATAGGAACAGTGCCAAAATGGCTCCTACACACATTCGCTAAACTTAGCAAATTAATCCCCTAGTTCCTTAAACACCAAGACTGTGTCATAAATATTCACGGGTAAGGAAACACAGGCCATTTGGAGATGGAGCTCAATTAATTAGGTAAAGAATAAACAGTCAGGCTCAAAGTGGCTTCTCCTAAAGGACTTTTTTTTAGGTCAAATGGGAAATTTGTTAATTCATTAAATGGGTGACTAATGCCTTCATCCTCTCAACAACTAGATTATAGTGCAAGCAATTTAAGCCTAAACACTTCAAGGACATTATAAAAGCATAGTCAAAACGCTAGCCAGCTCACAAAGACACAGTTTAAAGAAAAATTTTCAAAAAATTTTGACATGACTTTTCTATGAATATACAACTAACACCTGCGCATGCTAACTCTAATAATCACACGTAACAACTACTGCCCGAATGCCCAATTCACTCCCCCACACTTAAACTTTGGCATCGTCCTCGATGACAAAAAATGCACTATGCTTAAGGGGTAAAGAAGAAAGGGTCACGAGTGCTCAAAATCAACTCAAGTCAATTATTTACAAAACAAGCGATTATAAGAGTTGCAGAAACTTCCCTAAGGCGCTGGTCGGTGCAGAACTAAACTGAGTCAAGTGATCCTCGGCATCATCCCCAATGCAAGACCCTGAGCTGCAAAAACAAAACACACAAAACAAAAAACAGAAAACACCCCGTTTTTTTTTCGTTTTTTTTTCCGGGGGTTTCTTGAAAGAAAAAAAACAAAAACAAAAGTGCAGAAATAAGCTTGGGTTGCCTCCCAAGTAGCGCTATTTTTAACATCGTTTGCCCGACGCAACCACCTCATCAAAAACTCAGTCAAAGACACTCTCGTTCAGAAAATTAGTCTTCCACAAATCAAACCTCCTATCAACAAATGCCCTGAGATGGCGTAAGACCTTAAATTCATGAAAACAATTACACATCTCAGGGTCACCCGTAAAGAAAAAGAATGGATCTTGACCTTTATCAGGCCCTTTAGCAAAGAATGGGTCAAAGAATGGACAACTCCCTTTCATGTCAGAAATTTTCCGGACTAGAGCTTCCCTTTGTTCATAAGTAAATTAAGACATGCTGATTTTTGGGATAGCTCAAGCCCGGATGCAAGAAAAACAGGGAGGTCAGGACTGTCATCAATAAAATCATACTCAAGGTGGGATGGAAAAGGCTTTAGATTTAATAGAGAAGGAGTAACAAAAAAGGAATCGGACTGAAAATTTTCCTTCTCCACCTCATCTAAATCATCTTCCGTCCCCTGCACAGAACTAGCATCACTTAAGTCCTCCTCTCCACTAATCATAAGACAATCAAAACTAGGGAGGGGCTCAAGATCCTCCGCTAACACACAATCCTTCAACAAAAGGTCAAAAAGGGCTTCATTAGAAAGCATGTTAGGGGTGCAATCCTCCACCATAGAATCTATGTCATCCAAATAAAAACACTCTCTGCTATCCTGACAGGGCCTCTTCATTATTTTGGACATATCAAAGGTGGCAGTCTCATCCCCAACGCGGAGGACAAGCTTACCATCTCTAACATCAATAAGTGCTCGGGCAGTTGCCAAGAATGGTCTGCCCAAAATTATAGGTACCTCACGATCCTGATCCATGTCCAGAATAACGAAGTCTACAGGAATAATAAACTTGTCCACTTTAACCAACACGTCTTCAACAATCCCTTTAGGATATTTGACTGAACGGTCAGCCAGTTAAGTCAAATATCCCTTTGGGATATTTGACTTATGGTTTCGAGACTCGGGCACCATTAAAAGCAATAGTGCCAATGATAAGTCTGTATTTAGACATGCATTTGATGCGTGTTGATATTGGCTTTTGATGGTTTTCCTAGCTTTAAGGTGTCACAAGTCTCAATTTTAGCTCAAGTTATGTTTACGAGGCGTTGGTTCAAGTTTTGTGTCATTTGGAGTCAAAGTCAGGAATTTAGAATTCAACACCAGTACTTGAGAAGCAATCGGGATGATTCAAGTGTCCTGGTTGTTGACAACATTGCAATTTTCAGGGATCGTTATCAAAACTTGTTTGGCCATGTAATCCATGATGTGTCAAGGGTGAAAACTATGATTGACTGGATAGAGGTCCATCGGAATTTGGATTTTATCTCATGTGTATGTGTGCACCACCATATGCACCACCTTACTCTAGGGATGTTTGGGCGGGAAGACTATTCCCAAAAACATTTTGTTTTTATATAATGACGAATATGTTATTTAACTATTACCAATTCAATTAAATATATATTGGGGAAACAACTAGCTAGGTCATGGATTTGAAAAGTGATGCAGCTTTAGTCATACATGGGATAATTATTTCTATAAAAAGTAAGAACATAGATAAAATAACCACATACTCGTAAATATGCACTACTCAAATAAATTTCAAGTAACCTTATTTTTTATTCAAATGCAATCAAATAAATTATGTACTGTACAAATATCACATTCGCATACAATATGTGTAGAGTGGTATGTATATCTAATTACAATCTATCAACCATAGTTCACAAGTGCATTTATGGATGTACACTAAATATATACTTCTAAAATGACATCACAATATTATTTGACTAATAAATACTGCATATATCTTAATCTTCTCCAAGCTGGCATTGTGGTGAGACATTATCATTTGCAATGTTATTGCTGAAGCGTACATTTCTACATGTAGCCTTTGCTTCTCCACCTCCTTCCCTTTTCAAATTGACATTGCGCAATATTATTCCTCGGCAAGAATGTCTCTTGTCACAATCAAAGTCAATCGCCATTTCTGTTGCGCTTGTTCCAGATATGTTCTCGTATACCACATTTTTCACTTGAACATTTGATCTCTGTGTTGTAAAATGTATTAATTGATAATAACAAATTCAATGGTTACGGAAATGTATAATACTCCCTCCGTCCCGCTATGATTGTCCCATTTTACCTTTTCGGTCCGTCCCACTAAGATTGTCCCATACCTTATTTGGTAAAATTTGTGTGGTTCTAAATCAATCTTACTTTATTCTTACTTTATCAATTCAATATCAACCACATAAACCCACTTTTATTAATAAACATGTCACCTTCTCTTGTCCAAAACTTAGGGGGACGGAGGTAGTAATAATCTAATAAGAGGTCTACTCTAACTCTACGGATATATGATGCGAGTTACAATAATCACAAGTGAAAAAATGTTAACAAGGAATCAAATTAAATAATTAATTAAGTCAATTGTAGTCCATTTAAGGAATTATAAATTTATAGCCCAAATAGTTCACCTTGATTATGATTGATTGTTAGAGAAAGACCGACTTAGGGTTGTAAATGAATTAAATATTTTGCACTCGATTCATGATTTGAATTTGTGTATTACTATTTGAATTCAAAAAACTCAAACAAGAATACAAATTCGAAGAGTAATTTCAATTCGCACATTTATCAAATACAAATGTGCGTGTGGATTTGTAATTAATTAGAATAGGTGGGATTTGCATGGGTTTTCTTAACAACTCATGGGGTGAAACCCGTGGGTTGAAATTTGTGAATGATAGAGACATAACCACGATTTAATATATTGATCATTGAAGTTAGGCATAGTTATTTTTATTTTTGTTTATACAACACAAATGATAGTTAGTTTTTTTATGACAGAGTACAAATTATGAGGATTTATATATTGCGAAGAACATGCGTAGGATGAGATCAGCAGTAAAGAGGTGGCCAGGACACTACCACGAAGAATTGAAGGGATAATCCAATTTCAACAACATGGCGCGTTGAGTTTGTTTCTTTGAGCTGTACCATCATGTTTTAGAGTGTAAGGGGTAATTTATGCTAAAGGTAATTAAAGTGAGGTATATCTTTCAAATTAAACATAGGGAGATGTTTAATTGCTACCACAGAGTTATATGAGTGTAGAGAAATGTAGTGATTATTTTAATTATTATCATAACGCCTAAACCTAGGGAAAGTGTGAGATACTTCATACTTTATAGTTAAGTTTCATCATAATATATCTAAATAAACCCGATTAAGCAATTATATATAGGGCACGAGATGTTGGGAAGTAAGACAAATGCAATTCATCAAACGGTAATAAACACCACGCTGACCAGACTTTTTGCCAAGGCAAGGTCATGTGGTCAAATGGTCATATCTCTCATGTCCTTAAATATTGTAATCCAAAATGGAGCCACATCATCCGATCCTACGTGGATTGTTGTGTAACTTGTTTTTGTTACACACGATTTGTCCTAGACGGGCATTTACATAGCTATGAATAAGATTATCTCATGCTCCGTTAATTATGATGAAAGAAGAGATTCATTAAAAGAAATTGTCTAAATAGAAGTAAAAAGGTTTGTGTATGGCAAAATGGGATTGTCGTATTTTTATTCCTTGAATGTCAATGGATGAGTAATTACTGTCATTTTTTGCAGTACCAGACTTTAAACATGACAACATTCTCCAAACTTTGCAGCAACTTCTCCTATGTAAAGACTAAAGAATAAAAACACGACAATCCTTTTTAAAATTTCAAAGTGTTTTTACTTTTTACTCCTATTTTGGGAATTTTCTCATTGATTAATGATTGAAGAGGTTCAACATAAGGATGTTTTTACTTAGGACTGTAATTTGCCCCAGACCAGACCAGACCAGTACAGACCAGACCAGACCAGTTCAGACCAGACCAGACCAGACTTGGATAGTTATAAAAATACAAAAAAACCAGACCTTACCAGACCAGACCAGATCAGACCAGACCAGACCAGCAAATTACAGTCCAAATAAAAACATCCTAACTCCTAAGAGTACGATCTTAGCAGTATTATTACATTCAGTAAGATGAGTTGATGACTTCTTTATCATCATCAAGGAACATTAATGGGGCTTTGACATGCCCTAAGAGGTCAAACCGTCAAAGTCGATGAGGGTTTCCTTAACTTGACAACGCGAATGATAAAAATTCGAAGGCACGAGATTGATATGATATTTGTGGAAGGGAGAAAGGTTTTCCAAAAAATGAGGATCGGAGGATATATAGGATCACGTAGAAATTTTATACAAAATTGTGATACCACGCAAAATCTATTTGTGATTGTTAATAAAATTACAATGATTACAAATAATTATAATAAGCACTAGAGTGTTAGGCTAACTTAAGGACTAGATAAGATACGATTGAGTTGCAATACTAAAACAATAGCACTTTAATTGGCAACAAAATACAATTCATTAAGAGCTTGTTTAGTAATACTCAAACCGAATGTATTGGTTGATTCAACGGAAGTTTATGAAGTTTTGGATGTAGTGGCTGAATTCGTTGATTCTGCTCATTTATAAAAAAATTTACTTAAAATATACGGAGTATTTTATTAATAAAATAAAATAAAAAGTAATATGAAAAACACCTAAAATGGTGATCTATAGTAATTTCGGCCAATACAGCCAGAAAAGTAACATGTTTGCTAAAAAAGTTGTCTAATAAGCCGAAAAACGTGGTCACCAAATAGACTCTAAATGACTATGGACGTGGTTGACATTTAGCGGTTAGTGGAAAACAATTTATATTAGCAGGTTGTCAACACAGGATTCGATCAGCGAATTTGACTAACGGAATAAGTTGGTGGGTTGCTATAAGATGTTTGTTAATTAAGATGTTTCGTCATAACTAACAATTGGTAGAAAACGTCATATTTTAAAACGCTAACCGAAAAAAACGTTTCCATTCAGCGATTCCATCCAAAAGTGCTAGGATCAAACATCTATTTTCCAAAAGTTCACTTATTAAAAATGCTAAAAAGAGTCTAACGGTTATTTTTCTGATGCCATTTTCAAAATGTTATTCATATCTAATCCAGGAGGAATGTTCAGGTACGAACATTCCCCGTCCGAGCACCGTCCGAACATGGACGTTTGGACTACTTCCCGGTGGAATTTTTTGATGAAATTTTTTGAGCATGTTCCTCATCAAGTCTAGTTTGTCCATATCGAATTTCAGCTCCAAATTCGATCGGCAAGGCATTCAAATAATTTTTTGAAGTTGACTGGGCTTTTATATGTATATTTTGACGCAGTCAACTTCGAAAAATGATTTGAATGCTTTCCCGATCGAATTTTGAGCTGAAATTTGGTATGTATAAACTAGACTTGATGAGGAACATGCTCAAAAAATTTCATCAAAAACTTTCACCGGGAAGGGCCCCAAACGAGGATGTTCGGACGGAGGCTTCTGTCCGAACGTTCGGATATGATCACCAGTATTGTATACTTATACTCCCAAGGGCAGCCCCGGGGGCTGCTGGGGCATTGGCCCTAGGCCCAAATATTCGTAAAAAAAATTTAGGCCCAATATTTTTTTGTACTAATGGTGAGTAGGTTTAATCAATTCAAGTCTGCTCTTTCGGATGCAAAAAAAATCAGCCCCAACACAAAAATTGAAATCTTAGACTTTCGAGAAGAGTAGGAAGACTAAAAACTCAAAGTCGGGCCTCGTATGGAGGACTTGGGAAGTTCCAACTTCTATCCCAATTCCAATGTGTTATGTGCATGAATATTTTCCAAAATCCAATGTTTTATTAGCTCGAATCGTGGTTTTGCTTCTGATTAGAAAAAATAAGAATGTTTTCGACCCAATTAAAGCATTCTAAAAAGCCTCAATTCAAGGACTAATGTATCCGTGTCATTTCCAAATTCTAATTTAATTCCTTCAACTCCTAGACTAGGCTAGAAGAGTTCGAGCCGATTGGAATTGGAATTGGAATTGAATAATGGCATGCAGAAATATTCCAATCTTACCGATGCTTCCGCTGGGGCTGTATTGGATTTGGAATTTCAATTCCAACTAAATCGTCTTGTTCCAGTGGACAAAGACTTATTGAATTGTTGGTTCATGTTGAGGTGCGTAATGTGTATTGTATTTGATATTTTGATGTGTATATGTGTTCTTCCGCTAAAATTCAGTGTTCATTTAAAATTGCAAACTTTATTAAATTTGTAAATTTCATTACTGTGTTTGATAAAATGATTGATTTTGGATGGGATAAAGAAAAAAGAGAAGAGAAATAAATAGAAATAACAGCCCTTAAAATTCAATAGTTCAATGGAAAGTTATGTTTATATCATGAAATGCATTTAAGTACTACAAGTATGTTTTTAATCTTTAGTTTTTACCTGATAAATGTGACTCAATTTTTTTGGAATAAATAACACTACAAAAAAACACGGGATCGATTGATGAGAATTTTTTGCGATAATTTTTGAAAATTGGCAGAGATTTTGACATGAATATGTCAAATCCGTGCCAAAAACAATTTGACACGAGCTATCTGGCATGAAATCATTGATAAATCTGTGCTAAATTCGTGTTAATCCTTTAATTTTTTGGTAGTGTAAACAAATATTTCTTTATTACTCAATATATTTTTTTGAAGTTGTTTTGTTTTGCATATTAGTTTAAAGATAAATGGTTTTAACAAAAACAATTTACAAATTAAGCCCACGAAATGACGAAAGACTATTGCTCGATCATATGTTAAGGATGAATAGTTTGATGATATATAATTACCTTATTATCTTTGCAAGGCTTGTTTTGGTCACAATAGTTTTGGTCGATGATAATTGGGTTCTTCACATCATACATCTTTATGTTCTTAAACTTGATGTTGCTTGCACTTCCCGAACCTCCCTGCATGAATACATATACCCATGTAAACTATATCATGTAGCTACAACTTTCATCCATTTCGTGTCTTGTCTTGTCTTACGCAAAGTGACAAAACTGAATTAAAAAAAGATCGGAGTGACAAAACTGAATAAAAAAAAGTGACAAAACTGAATTTAATAATTTGTTATTAAAGAAGTATGTCATACAAAGTACGGAGTAGTAATTTAAAAGTAAATCAAAAGCTCAACAAAAAACTAACTTGTAATCGTATGAGCATCAATAATCATTATTACGATCTAGTCACATTTCATCCCTTCTTTAATTTTTAGGTGGAATCATGCACTTTGACATTTGTTTTATTCACCCATCCCATTTTGAACATTCTATTTGCAAATGTAAAAATGAATGAGATAGATGTGCTAGGCTGTACACATTTTGGTGTACATCTTTCCAACATTCGTCTGTCTTTCGCATATGTAATTGTTTGTCCACAAACAATTCTGTAGAGTTGTCTGTGAACTGACAACTTTGTCTGCGTGAGACAAATGAATGCACAAAAAGTGTACACGAAAATGTGTACACCAAGCATTTTTAAAAAAGAATTGTACTCATTCGGATCGGTGTGTGTTTTCAAAATATGTGCTGTATGTGTTAGTTATTTACTCTAATAAATAACTACATTTATCAATAATAAATTTGTGGTAAATGTCAAACTATTTTGACTAAAAGCAGATGTTCGTTCATGACTTTTTAAAATATACTCCGTACAAAGTGCTACCCAATTCAATACATATATACTCTTCGGTCCAAAAGAACTTTGTTATTTTCAAAACTTTGACCATTTACGTCTTTTTATTGAAAAATCATTTATAATATAAAAATTATATGAAAATGTTCTTTGTTAAAAGTACTTTCATAAAAGTATAAAATTTAGAACTTTCATAATTTAATACCAAGTATAATACTATTAAATAGTTTCATAATTCAGCATTAGGCTACCTGCCACGTCTTGATTCGGACTCCATTTGTAGTCCTAGAGAGCTTTGCGCCGTTCACAATAACATTAGATACGTAAGCTTTCGAATTTCCCGCTCCTAAGCTTCCAATGCTAAACGCAATCCATCACCATGTCAATAATGGTAATATATTAATAATCATTTGGAGTTTTCTTAAATATCAATAATATATATAGATGGTGAAAATATGATTACATATTTGATTATTGCAGTCAATCAATACAAAATACCACAATCACAATTAAAAATTATAGTTGGTTCCTATTTAGAAAATTTGCACTTTTTTCCTCCTATTTTATAGCAGTTTCTTAAATATACTTTAAAAACATCTTCAATGCAAAAACGTTGACGGATGCATATATAACATGACAGAGGTAGTCACAAAAAATTAATAGGCGAATATGTGTCTCCTAATTATTTGAAGGGTCTGATCTTATATGATTTTAATAAGTTTTCGTGATAATGTCAAGTACAACGTTTAGAAGTAGACATTGTGATTGTCATTTTTGTTGTGTCTCTCAATCTCTCATGTTACATGTGCTTACGTGTAAATTGTAGTATTAGAGATTGTCTAAAAACTTACTACCTCCGTCCCGAAGTGAAACTCCCTAACCTACACATATTTATGTAGGATAGAGTTTTTCCAAATATATCTTTACTGTATGTCAAATCAAGCAAAATATGGATAAAAAGTAAGGGTATTATGTTTTTTTGCTTAAAAGTGGTTTCCATTTTTATAAATGAAAACTTCGACATCCATAAAAAGAAAGCGAGAACTTCTTTGCGGAACGGTATTAAGTGAGGGGGGACCTCACCTAATTCCGTGCCCGGGTCCGCAAGCAATATTTGTTGCAACAACGTTTCGGGCGCCACTTACAATCGAAATGCAATCATCACCTATAAATAATATGATTAAATTAGTTGATAGATAGATTTTGGTTAAATAATTTTTTTTAAAGAAAAAAATAAAGAACATTCAATAATCATTACCGGTTCGGATGGTGCAGCCAGTCAAGTTAATGTTTTTTGTGCCGGTTACGTGGATGCCGTCGGTGTTAGGGCTGGTCTCCGGCGCGGCTACGGCAACGTTGGAAACTCGAACGTTTGTGCACTTCTGGAAGGAGACATGTATCTGTTGTGCATTTTGGATTTTAAGGTCTTTCACGGTCAACCTTTTGCACTTGTAAAAGGTCAAAGCCTGAAATCCACATTATTTTATACTAGTATTTCATACATGGTGACAACTCCGGTACCCATTTAAAAAATGGGGTACCGTACCTACCATGCATTTGATTGGTTCAAATCATTAAATCCCTTTTAATTTAGATTTAAATAATTCAACTGCATGATTCTGGTTGGTCCATGTAGACAAAGGTACGGTACCTTATGGGTACCATAGAATCTACCTTCATACATATAAATTAAAACACAACATAAAAGTTTGAACACAACATTAAAACCGAACATATACATTCACTACATCGTCGTCATAACTTTGAAAACAATTAAAATCATTAAAAGTTATCATGTCACATTGTTTAATAAATATTTTTCATTTAAGAAAGAAACAAGAAGGTTACAAAGGAAAGAAAAGAGAGGAAAAATGAGAAACAAATAAGTGAAACAACCCAACCAGAAGTACAATATAGAAGTCTCTCCCAAAAAACATTGACACTCAATCATATAGTCAATACTCCAGCCGAGTTTGAGATCTCGTCCTCATATAATGAGAACGTTGATACTTTTTCCTATGTCACATTTTTGTACACCATTTTCTCATGAGTAATATTAGTGAAATTTTTTCTTTATAATATCAACCATATCATATTAAGGTATGAAACCATAAAAAATAATCAAATATAGCATATTGATCAGAATAACATTTTAACAAAACAATCCAAGAGAACATGCCATGACTAGATGACTTTGGATGTTTTGATTTGGATCGTCTTCAATTCCATATCAGAGCAGACTAGACCAAATCAAACCAACCCCAATTTGGATAGTTATAAAATATATAGAGACTAAATATTTAATAGACCAGATTATAGACTAGTTTAGATCAGACCAGATCAAACTAGATCAGAAGATTTCAATCTAATTAAAAACATCCTTATATATTATCTTTATTGGGGTGGATACAAAATATGGTAGCTAGAGCGCGCATTATTTGTAAAACAATTTTATTTTTTGAACACCACAGTAAAAATGGTGAAGAAGTGAAGATATCTTACCGTGGGAGCATCTTTGCATGGCTACATATATGTAAACGGCGAGGAAAAAGCAAAAAAAAAAAAAAAAAACCAAAAAAAAAGAATCAGAATACAATTAATAGTATTTCAACGAATAAATAAACTTTTAATTACATTAATTACGTACGCAACGTGACTTACAAGAGCTTTGTTGATTTTACAAGAATTTTGCCACCATATTTTCCCATTTCCATCAAGTGTTCCGCCACCTTCCACCATCAAATTTTGGACACTTTGAAACTGTAGCCAATGCCTTTGATGCTTTTTGTAGTCTGACCGATTATCAGATGCTTCAATACTTCCATAGATCTTCCTCATACAAGTAAATATAAAACCATATTAATTATTGAACAATTGAATTAACTAAATGCGAGGATTTGTAAGAAAAAATACTCCGTATAAGATTAAATAATTAATTACTTCACTAAATAAGCCAACCTGAAATGTAATAGCTGATTTGCATGGCCCTGAAAATGAAATTGGTTTTAGAAGATACTTCTCATCCTGTGAAACTTCAAACGAAACCGATCTTGCAGTAGATGAACATGCTGATTTCCAAGCTTTTTTAAAAGCCTGAAAAATTACGATAATGTATAAATTACCTAATATATTAAGAGTAACCAATGTAAGTTTGATATCCAGCTCAGGTCTCGTCTATTTCACCCACAAAGGATGAACTTCACACACTAGGATCACAAGAAGGAGAAAGGGGCGTCAGCCAGCGGGCTATTTCCGGCCAATTCACCTAGGGTTCCACGGAGGAGGTTAAGGTGCGAATCAGAGAGTAAGGGATTCGGCAAGACCCTACCTTCGGCAGAGAAGAAGAATTGATTATATAGGCAAGGCTCAAAAAGCAAAGATGGTAACACTTACCATACAAGGTATACACTGTAATATCGCACAAGAGCACCGCGATGGAAAGAATCGCAGGGAGGAAAGCCAGAGTGATGCGAACGGTTTGGAAACAGCTGGGCTAATGGGTCGGGTACACCATAGTAAATTTGGGCTTAAGGAAAAAATAGCTGGGCCAATACCTAACACATTCTCCACCTTATTGGACCCTAGTGGTGTAGAGCACAACGCTCTAAAACAATTTGAGACTCATCATCGCTGGATTGCCCGAATAATCACAAAGACATATTCAGGCAAAAGGGGTAAGATCATCAGGCAACTTATCCGCAATCAATGTTTAACGTGCGTTTGCACGACAGCAACTTTTCGACAGAGAGACATTTAGTCCCCATGTCAGCAGGATTAAATTCCGACGGAATTTTAATCAACTTGATATGACCTGCACTAACGATATCACGTATAAAATGAAATCTAACATCAATGTGCTTAGTTCTATCATGAAAAACAGGATTTTTACACAATTGAATAGCAGATTGACTATCAGAAAACACACAAATGTCCTGCTTAAGACTACCAATCTCCATTAGGAGACGTTTAAGCCAAATGGCTTCCTTAAACGCTTCGGTAGCGGCCACATACTCCGACTCAGTGGTGGATAGGGCAACTATGGGTTGAAGTTGAGATTTCCAACTAATGCACGACCCACAAAGAGTAAACACATAAGAGGTAATGGATTTCCTATTGTCTCTATCATTAGCAAAATTAGAATCCACATACCCACTCAACTTAACCCCCTCAGAACACCTAGTGAAAACCAACCCATGATTAACAGAAGATTTCAAATACCTAAGCAACCACTTAAGAGCATTCCAATGATCTAAACCAGGATTAGACATATACCTACTCAAGCAACTAACAGCATAGGCAATGTCGGGTCTAGTACTCACCATGAGATACATCACGGACCCAATAGCATTGGAATAAGGCACAGATTTCATTTTAGCAATTTCAGGAGCAGTCTTAGGAGACTGATCCTTACTTAACACAAAGTGAGACGCCATCGGGATAGAAACGGGAGTAGCAGAATGCATGTTATATTTACTCAAAATCTTTTCAATGTATGAAATCTGATTGAGAACTAACACACGCTTACTCCTATCCCTAACAATGTTAATGCCTAGGATCCTTTTGGCATCACCTAGGTCTTTCATAGCAAAGTTCTCACTGAGACGCTTTTGCACACATTTAATGGCGTCACCCGAAGGACTAACAATCAACATATCATCCACATATAGCAATAAAAATACAGGCACAGAGGAAGTATTTTTAAAGTATAGGCAATGGTCGCATTCGGACTTGTGAAATTTCAAAGATGACATGCACTGGTCAAATTTGATATTCCACTGCCTCGGGGACTGCTTCAGGCCGTACAAGGCCTTCCTAAGCAAACACACATGATCACTCTTCATGGGATCCACAAAGCCCTCAGGCTGCGACATATAGATTTTCTTATCTAAATCACCATGCAAGAATGCAGTGGTGACGTCCATTTGTTTCATTTCCCAATCATTATGAGCAACAAGAGCAAGCATCATACGAATCGTAGTAAATTTAACTACAGGAGCAAAGATTTCAGCATAATCAACACCTTCCTTTTGAGTAAATCCCTTAGCTACTAACCTAGCCTTATATCTAATGTCGTTAGGCTCTTCCTTAACCTTAAACAGCCACTTACAGGCAACAACGGAACTATTGGGCGGTCTAGGAACTAACGTCCAAGTCTTATTCGCTCTAAGTGACTCCATCTCACTTTCCATGGCGCAAAGCCATTTAGCGGACTCATTAGACTTAAGGGCCTCTCTATAGGTTCTAGGTTCATTAAGCTCAAGGGTCTCAAACACAGAGAAAGCAAACATAGAAGTATCACACATATGGAAAGCATAATCAGGCATACTATCAGCAGTTCTCCTAATTACTCTCCTACTTCTATCTCTAGCAAGTTGATAATCATGCAAATCATTCTCACTAGCATCCGCACTCTCATCATGCGATTCATTGTCATTTGAATGCACATGAGAATGCTCCACCTCACTCGAAGTGGTGGTAGTATCATGCTCAGAAGACTCAGAATCATGCAATTCAGAAGAATTAGAATCATGCAAAACAACATTATCATGATTAGCAAACAAAGGGCTAGCAGCAGGTGGTATGGACTCCACCTCAACGGGTGTACTACTAGGATCAGACTCAGAATCAGGAACTGACTTAACCAGACAAGGAAACTCGGATTCATTGAAAACAACGTTTCTACTCACCACAACTTTGAAACCTACCTGGTTCCTATCCCAAACCCTGTACCCCTTCACACCCTCGGGATAACCTAGGAAGACTCCTTTCTTAGACCTAGGATCCAACTTGTCACCTTGTTGGTGCACATACGCTGCACACCCAAACACTCTAAGATTAGACAAATCAAGGGGTTTGTTTGAAAAAATAGATTCAGGGCACTTCCCACCCAAGGGAACAGAAGGAGACCGGTTAATCAAGTAGACAGCAGTGTTAACTGCTTCACCCCAAAACTTTTTAGACAAACCGGCGGTGGCAAGCATACTCCTAACCTTATCTAGAACAGTCCTATTCATCCTCTCGGCTATCCCATTTTGTTGGGGAGTATAGGGCACAGTTTTGTGCCTTCTAATCCCACAATCAACACACAGTTGGTCCATATCCTTATTGCAAAACTCTAGACCATTATCTGTCCTAAAGGTTTTGACCTTCTTACCAGTTTGATTTTCTACAAGGTTTTTCCACTCCCCAAACTTCACAAAGACATCGGACTTATGTTCAAGGAGACGGACCCACACCTTCCTAGAAAAATCATCAATGATGGACAGAAAATATCTCTTACCCCCGTGGGTAGAGACACTAGCAGGACCCCACACATCCGCATGAACATACTCTAACACAGAGGTACACTTAGTAGGATTAGGATATGGGGAGGAGGGGAATGTAACCTTATGCTGCTTGCCTAACACACAAGATTCACAGAAGGGGATGGGGGACACAGAATCCTTACCAAAACAACCAGATTTATGCAAAATCTCTAAACCCCTATTACTCATGTGTCCTAATCTATTATGCCACAAAGCAGATTTATCAGAACTAACAACATGAGCAGAATCACAGAAAGGCTGAGCATGGCACACATACAAGTTATTCACCTTTTTTGCCTTAAACAAAACAAGGGAATTTTTCAAAACTTTCATGCACCCATTACCCCATTTACCCTCTAACCCACTACCCTCAAAAGCAGCAACAGAAAACAAGTTATGACGCAAATCAGGAACATGCCTCACATTTTTCATAGTAAACACAGTCCCGTTATCAAACTTCAAACATACATCACCCACCCCATGAATTTTGCATTTCTTATTATCAGCAAGAGACACAAAACCATCATTGCAAGAATAATAAGAAGAAAACAGGGATCTAAAAGGTGTCATATGATAAGTACAACCAGAGTCAATCAACCACTCATTTTCAGTCATGCTACTCAACACAGAATTGGCAGAATCACAAATCATAAAAACTTCTTCATGCAAGTTATTATCATCTACCACATTAGCATGTTCAGACTTCTTCGGATGGGGACAATCCTTAATGAAGTGACTAGAATTACCACAATTATAGCACACTCTCTTCTTAGACTTACCTCTCTTTTTCCCCGGGTCATTGTTTTTGTTCTTATCGTTGTTGCCCTTCTTATGGTTTCTAGATCTACTCTTAGACCTACCCCTCACAAACAACGCTTCACCAGAGTCCCTAGACTGACTGTTACTACCCCTCGAGTGTCTAAGGTCTAACTCCTTACTCCTTAATCCATTAACGACTACATCCAACGAGATATCATCTCTACCATACTTTATGGCAGATTTGACATCATTGTAAGAGTCAGGGATGGCATTAAGTAACACTATGGGTGTGTAGTCATCTATGTGTTTATCACCAGCTTGCTTAATATTCTGAATAAGCTTGTTAAACACATCTAGGTTCTCATCAATGTCCTTAGACAGGTCAAGCCTAAATCTAAAGAACTTCTCAAGCAAAAACAATTTACCAGGCAAAGAAGTATCGGTATACAACTTATCTAACTTGTCCCACAAATCCTTCGCGGAATCTATAATACCCACCTTCCTGAGCACTGAATCAGAAAGGTTCAGGTATATAGAGGAACAAGCAGTTTCATTCATCTCAACGCGTTTAGCAGCATCCTCAGAGTCTAAATAGAGACCAGTCACAGCTCTATAGACTTTCTGTTGGATCAACACGCATTTGATTTTCTGTTTCCAGATATCAAAATCTGTCTTTCCGTTAAATGGAAGCATGCCATATTGATTGACAGCCATATTAACCGGAAAGCAAGCACAACACGCAAGAGAGTAAATAAAAAAAAAATATCGGGCTATCAACCGGTACGAAGCAACTAGCACGAACAAGCCGAGAAGACCAATGAACACAAGGCTCGGGTACAATCTCCTTGTTCTTTCGTACAAGCACAGATAAAATTTTTATTTACTCAACAGACAGATAAATGATTAATTATAACCTATAGGGCTATCAATTGTACGAAGCAACTAGCACGAACAAGCCGAGAAGACCAATGAACACAAAGTTCGGGGTACAATCTCCTTGTTCTTTCGTACAAGCACAAATAGGCTAAAATTAAATCAATAGTCAAAGAAACTGGATTTAAAACTAATCCGGACAGAAATATTCCCAACTTCGGACAACAAGTATCCAAACAAATATTCTTAACCGGAGAGTTTATCCACGAATCAATCAACAGAAAAATCAAAATAAAAAATTCAACACGTGATTAAATTTAAACCGGAAGAAATATTCACAACTTTGGACAACGAGTATCCAAACAAAATATTCTTCACCGGAAAATTAATTCACGATTCAACAAGTAATCACAATTCAACTAACAAGTAAATAGCAATTCAACTTGAAATTAAAACAAATGAACTACGAATAAAAATCACACAAAGGATTAGTAAACGTACCAGGGGCCAGACACAGCCGGCATCCAAGACCACGTAGGTCAGCAGCGGGGAGCGGGGAAAAAATTAAATCCGGTGGCACTCCGGTACTCCAAGGGTGTTAAACGCCAATTTACCTGAGCGGGGCCCGAGGTTGGGTTACCCGACTTACCGTAGGCAGCGTGGGCTGCTGTATGGCTCGGTGGCAGAAGCTGGAAGGCGGCAGCGGCGCTCCCTGGGCGGCGGCAGAAGCTGGACCGGTGGCAGCAGCTCCTTGGCAGACTCCCTGGCAGAACCGGTCACTTGGCAGACTGGTCTGGACGGCTGGAAACTTCTGGGAGGCGGCAGCAACTCTGGACGAACCTCCGGCGACCTCTGGACGGCGGTGACGCGGCGGCAGACGGCGGCAGGAGGCGGCAAGTCTCTGATACCACTGTAAGTTTGATATCCAGCTCAGGTCTCGTCTATTTCACCCACAAAGGATGAACTTCACACACTAGGATCACAAGAAGGAGAAAGGGGCGTCAGCCAGCGGGCTATTTCCGGCCAATTCACCTAGGGTTCCACGGAGGAGGTTAAGGTGCGAATCAGAGAGTAAGGGATTCGGCAAGACCCTACCTTCGGCAGAGAAGAAGAATTGATTATATAGGCAAGGCTCAAAAAGCAAAGATGGTAACACTTACCATACAAGGTGATACACTGTAATATCGCACAAGAGCACCGCGATGGAAAGAATCGCAGGGAGGAAAGCCAGAGTGATGCGAACGGTTTGGAAACAGCTGGGCTAATGGGTCGGGTACACCATAGTAAATTTGGGCTTAAGGAAAAAATAGCTGGGCCAATACCTAACAACCAATATCTTAAACATTATTCCATATTTATTATTTTATTATCATAAGTTCCTGATCAAATAAAATTATTCTTTTCGTGAAAACCGCAAGCCGTTCACCTTTCCTGATCAATGTGAAGCACTATTAAATTTCTGCGATTGCACGTTACACATTGACAAAAAAAAATTGACTTGTCTACCAAAATGTGATAACCATTTTGTATTGGCATGGCTCGATCGACCAATACCCAAAAAGTGCAAGAGACGAACTTTAAAGTGAATAATTTTGAGTCAAAAGCTAAGCAAATGGTTTGTAGTTCACACTATAAGTTTTTTTTATCGGAATCGTACCCTATATTTAAGATGTGATACTTCAAATGCGTACGTACCGCTGTATCATCGTGTTCCCCATCGCCCCTAGCGCCATAGTCATCGACATTGATGGTTGCTGCTGAAGCTAAACTCCTTGAGGACAAGCCTTTCAACCGGAGCTTGTTTTCACTTCCTCGCCAGCCCCCATTGATGGGACTAATCATATATGAAGGGTATGCCCGAAAGTCATGCCCATATTCTTCTTCCATATACTTCATATCATATAAGGTAACGTTATCATCATGAAGGTTAGCCAAACATAATGGTGCTAACGTAAGGAACATAATGAGGACCCATAATATTGAGAACATTATGTTTCTTAACATAGACATGTTTTAACGATATGTGTGTGGTACTCTCTATGCAGCGTAAAAAATAATTAAGGAAAACTCAATAAGACCAAAATGTAATGATGAAAAGTTCAAAGGATGTAAGGAGTTGATATGAGCTAATGAGCTACAATATGACTTTTTTTGTGGGTGGATATATAGTCGAATGTGATACAAATTACATGTGATAAGAGAACGACTATATTTATAGATTTTGGGAAATGGGAATATGGAGGATTGGAAACTTTGATTGTTTCCATGCATACGACTCTTGTGGTATGGTTTATGGATTGGACAGACTTATACGAAAGTGATAAATTTGAAGTTCATTATTACATATTCCTGTAATTACATGCCGAGTATTATACTTGAGCTATCCAGAATTTTAGGTAAGCGTTAAGTAAAATTTTCTGAGATGATATAATTTTATTTTTTAGAAAACAAATTTAATGAGACAATAATATTAGTTTATTATTTGCCATGAAAAAAATACTACCTCCATCCCTTTTTAGTTTGCCAACTTTGACTTTTCCGGTCAAAGATGATAAACTTGGATCCATTATTTTAACTAAAGTATTTATGTAAAAGTTAATAAATTTATACTTTTATGATAGTATTTTCAACAAAGAACATTTTCATATAATTTTCTTATTATCAATATTACCGTGTATAAATATATAATCGGTCAAAACTTTGACTTGAAAATTTGTACTACGTATTTGGCAAACTAAAAAGGGACGGATCGGAGGGAGTAGTTTATTAAAATGATGTTCTGCATCCATCTTTTCCCGTGCTTTTAGGGTTCTATGGATGATCTAGAGCAATGTTGTCCCATTCCGGCCAGCAACAGAGGATCAGAGGAAGTCGAAGGGTTGGTTTTTGGCGGATCAACATGAGTGGATGGCGGTGGGCGGTGTTGGAGGCGGCCCGGGCGACGAGCAGACGTGGAGCGGTGTAGGCTTGAGCAAGGGAGAGGACAGATCGTCGGTTCGCACCCTCCTGAACCGTCGCCTTGGAGCAATCGAGGTGCTAGATTTTGGAAGATGATATTTCAATAAAAGTGGTACGGAGTTTTGAGTATTTATCAGTTATTTTATTTTTTATGGTCTTATTTCGCGTTATGTTTGTTTACGTTGCTCTGTTTTTTGTGATGTCTTTCGTTTTAGGTCTACAATAACGATTGACAATTTTGCCAGATATTATGTCATCAGAAGGATCTATATGGCCAGTGATTGATTTATTGTTGTGTCACACCCGTCTGATGGTTAACGATTTGTATTGCTCTTTCAAGAGTTATCATTTCTAATTTTAGCCGTAGGATTGATAGTGCTAGTTGGTTACGGATAGTTGCTGTCAGTATTGATCTCTTTGAGTTTGTTGGAACGATTCGAATCCTAATGATATTAAAGTAAGCAATTTTTTCTTGAAAGAAAAATGATGCCAATAAAAAATGAATGTGATAAGGTAGGCGAGTGAATCATGCCAATAAATGTGTAAAAGCATATTTAAAAAGGATATCAATTTTTTTTTACTCCGGGGGTCTGGGGGAGGGGGCTGGGGAGCCTGGAGTAATCAGGGCTGAAACTGACTCCATTGGATTTCATACCCTTGTTTTTTTTCAAGGATTTAATTATAAATTAAATATTTTATAGATTATTTATTAAATTCAAATTCTTAAATTGAAGTTCCTTTTAAACAGGTTTAAAGGATTTAAAATAGGAGCACATATATTTTTCTTTAAATAGAAATAAATTACTCTCATTCTGAAATTTAATGCAATATTTTTGCATTATCGGACTTTAGATATGGTAGCATTCTGTCATAATTATCGGGCTTGAAATATGACTTTAATTACTCTTATTTAGGGAATACAATATACTCCCTCCGTCCATATATATATATATACACACACACACACACACACACACACACACACACACACACACACAAATGTTCAGGTCAGGAGTTCCTGACCGGAACCGCCGTCCGGACCGCGGCGTTTGGACGCCTTCCCGGTGGCTTTTTTTGATGAAATTTTTATGACATGTTCTACATCAAGTCTAGTTTATCTACAAAAAAATTCAGCCAAAAACTCAATCGGGAAGGTCGTCAAATAATTTTTGCAAGTTAACTGGTCCGGAATATGTATTTTCCGGACCAGTTAACTTGCAAAAATCATTTGATTACTTTCCCGATTGAGTTTTTGGCTGAATTTTTGTGTGGATAAACTCGACTTGATGGAGAACATGCCATAAAAATTTCATCAAAAAAAGCCACCGGGAAGGCGGCCAAACGCCGCGGTCCGGACGGCGGTTCTGGTCAGGAACTCCTGACCGGGTCATTACTCTCTCTCTCTCTCTCTCTCTCTCTCTCTCTATATATATATATATATATATATATATAAGGCATAGTTTGACTAGCACACAACCTAAGAAGGAATACTGTTTAGCACTATTTGGACACTGTTGGGACACTGTTTGTCACTGTTTTGAACTGTTTTGTTTGCCAAAAGGGAAATGAGCCTTTTATATAAGGACAACCCAAAAAGGAAACAATGCCTTTTATTTAGAGACGGAGGAAGTATTAGTTTTATTTTGAAAATTTAAAACATTTTTACGGCGATTGCGCGCTTTCATTAAATTGGTAATGAACTATGTAGTTTTTAAATACACACATTCACACACAGAGTTAGATTGTGTTGAGATTTATTCCTTCAACCCTCAGGTCCAATATGTAAGCCCAAGGATTTCGAGTGGATTGATTATGTGATTATAAATAACTGACCCAACAAGCAAATAAGATGGGTTAAGAGGATGATGAGCAAGTAAAGAATCGGATATTATTAATGATAAATATTGCCCCGATGCAATATCTTACTATGGCCGATGGCCGTTCGTCTTACAAGGCAGTAGAGGAGCTTCAAGTAAGTTGACGTGCACTTTGTCGTGGTGTGCACTCAAAATAATATTCAATACAACAATTATACGTAGTATAATGAAGTAAGGTTCGTATCCACAGGGAAAGGAACACTTCTCTTTTTATAGAAATAAATAAGTAATAACAGGGGGGTTTTTATGTTTGGTTGATGAACTTAAATTATATTTAAGCACGAAGATGAACGAGTTATGTGGTTTAATTAATGAGAAGGAGACTTGGTTTTGCTTTTATCCACTTAATGAAATGTTCGTCGATCCCGGTTATATCTTTAACTATCTTCCTCTCGAATACTCAATTGAGGAGTATATCCAATTCATCGAGGGTAGTTATTAATAACGAGACGCGTTCATTAATAAAACTTACTACCGAGTTTATATAGAACACGCGCCATATATTCACTCAATAGTAGCAATAAAATCAAGATGAAAACGATTGAGATTGATAACCTCAACACAAGCGGTTTATTGGTTTAATCAATATAATTAATTCCCCTTGGTTTATTAACCATGAAACGCATGCATTAATAACCCAAGTTTACTACCGTGAAAGGACCGAATTAATAACAAGCGTATTAATCGACCGATTCTAGTAATAATTAATATATGAAACAAAACTAGTTGATCCTTTAAGTAATGTTCAAAATATTAATATGAAATATGAATAGGAATTAATTAATATTCAAGAAAGAATATTAAAAGAAGATGAATCCTACTATAGTTAATATCAAGATGTTAACTAATTGTCATCTTAGTAACACTCCCCAATATTAACATAGAGGAAGAAATAGCTATTACTATAACTAATGTCAAGATGTTAACTAATTGTCATCTTAGTAACACTCCCCAACATTGGTATAGAAATAGTATTTAAAGGAAGAAGTAATATTCAAGGAAGAAGATTAAAGAGAATAACTCACAACTTACAAATTCATTAAGCTTCAAAGTAGCAAAACCAAGATGGAAGAGTTTAGCTCCTCATTTGGAGACTAAACATGATGAAAAATATAAAGAAAGAACTTGTCTAAACTGAGCTAAGAAGTATATGTGAATTGGTGATTTTATTGTGAAGGAAAGGGGTGTATTTATAGGCTTTTGGGAGCTGCAGAGTCTGATACCCGATCGGGTATATAGGATACCCGATCGGGTATCTTAGGAAATTGCCCAGAAAGTCACTTTTCTGGGCATACCCGATCGGGTATGTCGGCATACCCGATCGGGTATGTGACAAATCTTCACGAAAATTTGCTCCCACGATCATTTGTTCCCGGATTTGATTTGGACAATCGAATCAAGTGAATACCCGATCGGGTATAGGCAATACCCGACCGGGTACATGAGTATTTTTTCCAAATCGAAATCTTTCTTGTCTCCTTGCACTTTCCTTGATCTTTTAAGGTCCAATCTTGATCCCTTCGATGATCTTTGACCTGTTTAGCTCAGAATAATCCTAATCTAAACAAATTACAAATAAAAATGAAAATAAAATATTACACCAAAAGTGTGTAATTTCCACAACTACAACTAATAAAAACTAGTTGAAAATACAAACATACAATCGAAAATTACACGAATATCAACTCCCCCACACTTAGCTTCTTTACTCGTCCTCGAGTAAAGTCAAATGTTTAACACTTCCAAATCCTCAAAAGTTCAACAATAAACAAGAAAAAGAAAAAGACAACCAAGGATAAAACATGTTTTTTTTACATTGAGTTTTTAGCTCAATAAAAAAATAACATCTTCTTGGGTTTCATGGCCTTCTATGCTCATTTTTTTTCTTCACCTCTTTTATTCTTCCTTTCTGTCAAGAGATTAAATGATGTTCTGCAAAAACAAATATATCTCTCATATCTCTCATTTTGCCTAGGAGCCTTTTCAGGTTTTCATCCTAGCATCTCTTTTTGTTTTTCCATCGTTTCCAATTCACTCATTTTTTTTTATAAGCCATTTTTGCTTAGATTGCCCGTTTTTGGGTTTTCAACCTAACTAGCATTTCTTTTCTTTTCTTTTTTTGATTTGTTTTTTTTTTTTGAAGAAAATAATGCCAGTTACAAGGTATCAAACTTAAGTACGTACCAATGAGTGACTCC